GCATTTCGGGCGGGGCGTCCGCGGTTTTATACCCGCGGATTTCCGCCGGAAATGCGGCGTTGCAGCTCCCCGGAGGCATTGTCCGAACCCGCTCAGGATTTCCATTTTCCGTTCCAGTCGATGCCCTCCCCCTCCTCCCCTCACCCCTCTCCCCCCACTCCGTGCCGGAGTGGTGACGGCTCATTTCCATAGACGCGAATTACGAGACCGACTGGGGCCGTCGCCGGTCCACCGACGGCGTTGCCAAACTGTCATAAAATAGACCACTTTTGAACCGCAGCACTGGAAAAAAAAACACATTGGATCTAGAGTTCAGACTCTTGAAAAAATTGACAAGAATAAATACTCTTGATTCAGTCGGATTTTTGCTTGAATCAAAACGAAATCCGCTTAAATTAAGAGGCTTGGTTCTTGATTTAAGCTAGATTCTGATTGAATCAAGAGTACTTCCTCTTGTCGATGTTTTTAAGAGTCTGGACTCTAGATCCAATGTGTTTTTCTTCCAGCGAACTGTCATAAAATAGACCACTTTTGGTCCGCAGTGTTGGGGATATTTTTCGAAATAACCGATTAATCGAATTGATTCGATTTTCTTCAATAATCCAATTTCGTCGCTTTAAATGGTAGACGGCAACCAACAAAGCCCTTCCTGACAAAGGTCAGGGCAATCAGAGAAAATCTTAGGGAATTTTAATTTTGAAAATTGCTATGCACCCTGTACAGCAGTGGGGAGGGTATCTAAAATATATTGTCTTTTATTGCGAGTTAAAAAAACTCCTCTAGGATCACTCTCTGCGGGTCTTTATTTTAATTCGACGGACTTAACATAATTATTCTCCAACGTACATGTCCGAAGCCAAAGATGATTGTCAGGAACATATTTAATTAGCCGTTTAATATCTCGCGTGTGCGAAAATTGCTCGCAAGCGGCGTAAATATCCCATCCGCTCGTGTTTCCACGTTGCAATATGCACAATTATCGCGAGATCCGAAGGCCTTATTTGAAGAAGGGCATATGTGCCGCGGGATCCCTATGGCGTTTATGTCCTTATTCGATGAAGACGTCGGGCCATTACGAGTGTGAAACGTAATGATATGTATTTTGTAACGATTCCGACGTTCGAGAACGAGACAAGGTGGGTCTCCAACTCGACAGGCAGTGACATGACGGTGGATGACGTATATGTTGGGTTGAACGATTATCGATAACGATGCCGATCGATCGATTGCTCGAATCTTCTCGATTTCGATTGTTCGTAAAAGAGGAAGCAAGAGACGCAAAGGAGATATTTTCCCATTACGTCTGCCATGTTTCCGACGAAAGGCGATAGTGCAAAAATGAAATTTTGGGGAGAGTAGAAGAAACGTCTGAAAGAAGCGTTTGTAAAATTGCCTTCAACCATCCAGAAGACTCTCAGAAATAGCATGGATGCTTCAAAATTCCCGAATTTTATTTTTAACCGTGCAAGAAGGGCCTTTTTAAAAATGTCATCTTAGGCAAGGCAACCGTGAGTCTTGATGATGGAGAAAGCGCTGTCGATTCGATCGACATGAATTGATCGAAAAGTAAAATCGTGAACCGATCGACACCGATTCGAGAGAATTTTGTCGACCGATTCCCGGATGTATCGATGGATCCACGGGCTTTTCGATCGATTCACGTTTTTTTTCAATTGATTCCTGGTTTTTCAAAAGATTTTCGAATGTTTCGATAGAATCACATTTTAACGATCGATTTGCAGAATTCTCGATCGATTCATGGTTTTGTCGATCGATCTACGGACTTATCGATCGATTCATAGGTTTGTCGATCCATCCGTGTTTTTTTCAATCGATTAACGGATTTATGGATCGATTCAAGGATTTGTCGATGGGTACGCAGGTTTGTCGATGGATTCATGTAGATGGAAGCCCTCCTCGTTAATCAGCCTCAATATAGATTACACAGGGTTGCCACAGTCAGGGAAAACCGGGAAATGTCCGGGAATTTTAAAAAGTCAGGGAAAATGACGAAAATGTCATGAAAATTTGTTAAATCACCTTCATTTGCTCTCTAGAATGGGTTTGAGGTTTCGAACAAAAAATTTTGCCCAAAAACTATTTTCAATTGTGCCTTCTTAACCATCCCTCACATCTTAAATTGTCAGAGTTTCACCCAAATGTGTCAGGGAAATGTCAGGGAATTTCATTTTCTAAATTCTGTGGCAACCCTGATTACAGATATGACTAAATTGGTGTGCACTATCCATTTTATACGGACACCCCCCCCCCCCCCTCTCGACCGAGAGCAAGAGCCAAGTCCGCGGCGAGCTCACGGCCAGCAGCTCCCTTCGTCGCCCTTCCGTCGTAAAGGGCTTATCTCAATCCCCTCTTGAGCCCTGTTTTACATGTCCATCCATTCTTTACGGGGCTCACATGCAAATAGTGGCACGTTCTTATCCCACCAGAGCTACCAGTTGCGTTCTGCCGTGCTAAGGAGAAACGCCGTATGAGCCTTTAGATGTTGCCAAGTTTCCTTCAGTGAAAACTGACTTCACCGGAAAAATTCCGACAGTTATTTTCCAAAATTTCAGACAATTTCGTACGGAATTTAATCTAAAATATCGGAAAATTTCAAGGAAAACTAGGCATAAATGTTGACAAAATTAAATGTTTTTTCTTGGGGAATTTGGCAACACCCGAAGGTTTATACGGCGTTTTTCCTGGCTGTGGTCGGAGCGGGCATCTAATTGACCGCTCGATCCATCATGGCGCCGCGTGCCCGCGTCCAGCCTGACTGACAGCCCAGTGCGAGTGTCGCTCCGAATAGATCAGTTTCCTTCCTCCTGGCCGGCGCCGTTTTCGGATATTTTCCAACACGAGTGCCCGACAAGGCAACGCCGCAATCCATTATCGGTTATCGACTCGCCGTAACCGCTGTTGTCAACTCCGTCGCCCCCTCCAATTCTCATGATGAAGTACATTCCTCAGTCCTAAAATTGAAGGAGCTCCGGATTTCAGGACGGAAAGACGCGGATGCAACCAATCGTGCTCGAGGGATGTGCGTGATGCATGCATACGAAATTGCAGGCGCTCCTGTTCTCTAAATTTCAACCCCGGGATGCAACTATTCGTGCTCGAGGGATGTGCGTGATGCATGCATACGAAATTGCAGGCGCTCCTGTTGTCTCAATTTCAACCCCGGGATGCAACTATTCGTGCTCGAAGGATGTGCGTGATGCATGCATACGAAATTGCAGGCGCTCCTGTTTTCTCAATTTCAACCCGGGTACGCAACTATTCTTGCTCGAAGGATGTGCGTGATGCATGCATACGAAATTGCAGGCGCTCCTGTTTTCTAAATTTCAACCCCGGGATGCAACTATTCGTACTCGAGGGATGTGCGTGATGTAGTCATACGAAATTGCAGGCGGCTTCATCGTTGGGGCTCCCAATTTGCCAAGCAGATTAATGTTATTCTTTATTTTATGTTTTACTTTTTGAATAAAATATCCTATCTTATCTTATCCTATCCTGTTTTCTTATCGGGCCAGTTGCGCTGGTCACATAATCGTGTTATTTGATCCTTTATTCTTGCAGATCATTTAAAAATACGAATATCTGTCCAAACAGCAACTTCTGCATTGAATATTGACTGAGATATCGCGCCTTGAAAAACTCGACTTTTGACGTCATCCACGGCGGTAGTCCATACCTAGCCTAGGCGGTTGGTAGGTTAAAATGAGGCTTCCTGGAATTTCGGGCACACATATACATAGTTGCTGTGAGTGGTGACGTCACCATAGGGATTCTCCCTTGCTTTTCTGTGACGTAACGCTAATAGCGTCCATTGTCTCTGGCGAGATTCCGTTTCCGTTCGCTAAGTGCGAAGCCCCTGCAAAGCTGTCCCAAGACGATATTTGTATTCCTACGGCCGAGCGAAAGAAGTACCGTGTAACGACGCCAAAAGTATATTGTAAGTAATCGACTCTCTGTGAGCAGTGAGCATCCTGTCTCGACGAATTTCTGGAGTCCTTCTTCCAGGTTTTCCGGAAATGTTCGCCGAACCACCGGGCCATTACGATCGGGCCAACTTATTTACCCAACATAATTTTCATTTCAGGGTCTTTACAAGTCCGGAAATAGTCCTGATTTTTTAATGGCGGTCCGGAAGTACTGATAAAGTGCGGAAATTCCATCAGAAGGTCCGGAATTTTTCATATTTGTCGCAATTTTAGGGAGAAATTCAAATTTTTTAAATTTTTCGAATTTCGTCAAATGGAGACATTGGAAAAGTACTGAATTTTTCCGTCGAGGAGGTACTGAATTTCTCGGGAATGTACCGAAAAAGTACTGTAAAAGTCCTGATTTTTGGCCAGCCTGTTCTAGTGTGCAGCCTGCATTTAAATCAAAGGACTACATGCTGCAATAAGGGACCACTATTTGGACCGAGTTCAGCAGGAAGGAACCAAAGCCACATTAGCTATTGCCGAATTTAACCGGGCAATTAAATTTTTTACGAGAGGACGTAAGTGTGGTTCCGTTTAACATTGTAAGGAATTTGCTCCGTACTAAACAGGAAATTCACTAAAATCTGCAAATTCATGTATTAAATTAAATTGCCCTTTTAAATTTGGAAATAGCCGGTGTGCCTTGGTTCTTTTCTGCTGAACGCAGTCCATTTCTGGCTCATCAATAAAAGCAAGTGTCTACGTAGGGAAACTGATGGTGCATGCGTTGCTTCTAATATGAGCTAAAATTAGTAGCAGGTTTAAAGGGATTTTTCCCTAAAATAACCGTTTTATTGGAGACAGTCTTGCAACGTGTGTATGCGTCCACGGCGGTGCTCCCCAGCCCCAGCACGGCAAACCAGATCGCCGTGACCTAGGTCATGGTGCGATAACTCCGAAACCACGCAGAAACTTTGCTCGAATCATTTCTCGACTTCTTTTGTATTTTTCTATCGTTTTTTGTATCGTATTTTTGATCGATTTTAAATCTATTTTTCAATTTTGTTTCAGGTACGTATTGAACCTGTAAATTGATCGAACCTATCTAAAATCAACAGCTCTCCCAAACAAACTTGCACGTGAGTTGTTTTGCCCTGTATTTTCCCTTTTTTTGATATCCAACCATTCGCGAGGAAGATCTATGGTCCCGAAGACTTGTAAAATTTTAGCCGATCAAGTCTTTTTGCAGTTTGGGATCCAGTAGCTAGGCGTGAATGATCCATCATCGATATTTCCCCATTTGAAGCTATGCTTAGGAATCCATCATTAGGGTGCTTGTTCACTGGAAAAAAAAAAAAAAAAAAAAAAAAAAAAAAAAAAAAAAAAAAAAAAAAAAAAAACATATTGGATCTAGAGTCCAGATTCTCGAAAATATTGACAAGAAAAAATACGTTTGATTCAATCGGATTTTTGCTTGAATCAAAACGAAATCCGCTTAAATTAAGAGGCTTGGTTCTTAATTTAAGCTAGATTCTGATTGAATCAAGAGTACTTTTTCCTGTCGATGTTTTTAAGAGTCCGGACTATACATCCAATGTGTTTTTTTTCCCCAGTGTTGCGAACACCCTGTTTATCGATCCTTTTCCACTGATGTAAATGATAGATCCATCGATGTATCGCAAAGCACGCCACACCACTGCGGGCCGATTACTGAAATTGATAGACAAAGCCATAGACAAGGACTCATTTCATTACCTTTGTCACGCAACTGACGCGGAGGTCGAACCTTAAAGGCATCGCGTCGCGGTAGTATTTCAGGATTTACATTTTCCATTCGGTCCGTACTTTTCGGAGACAATAGTCGCGACTCGTCTGGTGGTCGGTAAAAGGACGCTTCGACGTGCTGAACTTGCTGAATATGTATGCGAAAATATCAGCAAAAAACCTCAGCCTCGACCTTACACGCGACAGCCCGTCAGCGCACGACGCAAAAAGCTCAGTCCTTCCCGAACGGAATACATAATGCGAATTTTCGCCATCGAATATCATTCATCAAACGAATTCATCAGTGCTGAGCGATGCCGATGATTAGTGATAGCAGGAGCCAATCAGAGTTATGATTATTTTTTTTAAATGAAATTAAGAAGAAAATAAGAAAACACGGAACACTGAAACACAGCAAATTGCAAAAACACCAGACTTGAATTCACAAAACACAAAGACAGAAAGAAATGACGAACCAAAAATTCTGGTGAAGGATGAAGTTTTTGGCATCGATTGCATCAATTCAAAATCGAATTCAAGTCCCGAGGTGAATTCGAAATTTCAAAATGATGAATTTCACAGTCTCCGAACGAAGAAGTCGAATATCTTTTTTTAAAAAAATGCACAATCGTCGAATATATTCGATCGCGAAAATTCGCTTATAATGCACAGACACAGAACGACCTTCGAAATATACTTTAACTTTAACTTACTTGGAAAAACGAATGATTGAAATCGAATGGGCTTGGGCAGCTGCGCTGGTCATAGAATCGTGTTTTGATTCATGATTCTTGTAGATTAGCTAAAAATAAAAAGATCTGTCCATGCCGCAAATTTCTACGTTTGATATGAACCGAGATATCGACCTTTTGAAAAATTCGGTTTACGATGTCATCCACCACGGTAGTGATACCACCCTACGTTTCTTCCACCTTGCTTTCATCCGAGTTTCACGCATGTTTTACGTTGAGTAACCAGTGCAAATGTGCATCACACTGACTGATGAAAGCAAGGTGGAAGAAGGGGGAAAAGGGTGTCATTACCGCGGTGGATTATTCCAAAAACCCGACTTCTCAAAGGGCGATATCTCGGTTCATATCGAACGTAGATATTTGTGGTTTGAACAGATCTTTTAATTTTTGGTAATCTACAAGAATCAAGCATAGGGCCGGATTCACCTACTTGCCGCCCATGGGCCGCCTATATTTTTCCGCCCCCTTCTCATTCGTTTTGAAACTACAACGAAAACCATCAAGTAAACGTGCCGGAGGGGGAGGGGTGCATAAGACGCGTTTACTCGTGTTGGACACATTTTTTGCGAAAGCCCCGTCAACACTATTAGCAAAAGCTCACGAAACTTTGCGCGAAAGTTAAATTCCGTAAACCTATCTCTGTGTGGACAAGGCCTTCCATTTATAAGAAACTAGCGACCCGTACGTGCTTCGCACGTATGAAACATACAATCAGAGAAAACGGAATTCATCTCACAATAATCAATAATCAGTAGGACATGAATCGTTGCGATGTATTATACGACATTATAATACGGCATTACTATTATAATGCATTATAATGGATTATAGGCATTATAAATCATTATTACCACGTGGGAATGAAATGCTGCAGAATGAATTGAAAAGCATGTTGGCAAAATTTATTACAAAAATAGTATAACATGTAGACCGTACATAACATAAAGGTAATACAAATTAAATGATTAGAGCGTGTATATTTTATTACATTATAGGTATATTTTAATCATTTTTGTCATTGTTGGAAATTTTGATAATGGACCACTAGACAAGGTACGAATTTCTGCATTCTGATACACGTTTCTTAACCAAAATTTCACGTAGAGCACGATGCGCACAACGAAAATTACCGAAATTATTACCTTACGAAGATATTTAATGATTTCTAATGCGTAAATTCAAACCATCATGCTCATGAAAACTCGATGATCTACGTGATTCACTTCGTTCGCTGAACGTTATCATGACAGTCTTTTGCGATATAAAAATCTGGCAACCTCTATCTTGACGCTTTGGCTCAGCTATGGCAAATTGCTTGTAGTTTGAACAACACATGGTGAGAAATGAACATTGCTCGGTTGAGAAGCTTTCTGAAACCGTTTTAGTGCGCGATTTGACTCACGTAGAGCTTTGAGTTTCTTGTGAGCGGGCAGTTCAAATTCCTCGTAACCGATGGGTAATAAAAACGTTAATATCTTCGTTAAGAGTTGGTTATAGTAATTTTCGTTGTGTGAATTGCGTTTTACGTGAAATTCTGGTTAAGAAATATGTATCAGATTGCTCAAATTCGTACTTTATCTAGTGGTCCATTTGAAATTTGATAGTTTGAAATTTGATAGTTGAAAATGTTGGCACTTTATTTAGTTAAGGTGATTCGTAGAAATAGTTACTCCAAAAAATCATGTTAGAGCAGAGAAGTACGGCAATGACGTAAGGACGTTTTCATTGCCATACTGCAAGGAAAAATTTCCGTCCGCAATCCGAGCAATTCCAAAAGGAAAAAAACATATATATAAAAAAAGAATGATCACATAGAAACATTCACATACAAATCCATCCCTACCGAATATGTGAATGGCTTCGACATCATCTTGAGATACTATTAGTCAAATTTAGACGAATCAGCTTCATACAAAACAAATATCAAAAAACGAATTTAGAAAATTGGTGCCCTCCGGTCTGAAATCACTTTATAGACCATTGAAAAGCCCCATGCAAAGTTTCAACTTTAAAATCGAATTTTTAGGGGTCCCGCCCGCATTGGCCCTAAACATTAACGTGAATATTCCATGAGAATTTGCCAGAAATTGTTCAACAATGATTTTCTTGGCGGGGTGTGACAATATTATTGATTTTCTTTTTTAAAATAAGGGCGTTGAAGTTGGTTTGAGTTAAAAAGATTCCTGCTTGGCACGAAAGGCTAGGGTTGACAGAAAATCCTTCGGCGCGTGGGGAGTGCGGCGAGTCTGCAGAAAGGAAACCTCGATGTTCCCGACTGAGCACCAAACAGTTGGCGATGGAAATTCGCAGGATGGAAATTTCATATGAATAACGTAAAAATAAAATGACAAAAAAAACATATGTGAGCAGTTGCGGAATTTCCCGTTTCCACACGATGTACACGTACAGAACTCTCCGACCGCTGAGAAAGATCCGGCAACACCGCAACACTCGAACAATCGGGACAGTAGCCGTAGAAACGCTCGTACCGTATACAACAAAAGGGCGACCGAGCTCCGGTCGTCGTTTCAGAGTAGACCATCAGAGTAGCCGCGACGCCTACGCGGAGGGACTCACGGCGCCCCCCCCCACCCCCCCCCCCCTGCCAAAGCCGGCCGAAGGCCAGCTCCGCCGAACGCGCAACGAATGAAGACCGCACGGCAAAAACGCGGCCCCGATCGACCGACGAGGAGGGCGCAGAAACGAATTTCCCAGAAACGTTCGAAGGGCACCAGGGCCTCCCCGGATCGCCGGATCACGATACCCGCCCTTATCGGACGTCGGCACCGTAGGACCCGTCCGCCGACGGAACCGCGAGCCCGGGGGACGAACGGGGAGGTACGAAGTGACCGTTACAAGGAATCGACCGACGAAACAGTCCGAGGGGCACCGCGCCCACCCCGGGAGTTCGGGGTCGAAAATTCAGCGGGGACGGGACGCCGGCCGGCCGGGGGCCCCCGCTGACCGAAACCCCAGGCCGCGGGCCGAACGTGACGGGAGCGGTGGCGGTTTTTCCGAAAACGGTCGCGGGGCCCCAGCGCCCCTCCCGGGTCGCCGGATCCGAAATCCGACCTTATCGGACGTCGGCACAGTAGGAACCGTCCGCAGACGGAACCCCGAGCCCGGGGGACGAACGGGGAGGTACGAAGTGACCGTTACAAGGAATCGGCCGACGGAACGGTCCGAGGGTCACCGCGCCCCCCGGAAGCGCAAAAAAACGAAACGGCCGGAGGGACAAGGAGCCGATAGCCGCGACGCGACCGCACGTCGAAGCGCGACCGGAAAGACGCACGCCAGGCCGAGGGACGGGCGAAAAACGGAACCACCCCCGGGGCCCGTAGCAACCCCCCTGGGGGTGGGAACGGGAAAATCCGCGGGGGGAACGGAGTCCCGGCCGCGAGGGGTCCGCCGAACGAACATCAAGGGCGCGGGACGCGCTGGGACGGCGTGGCGGGGACCGATGTTCAGAGGGTCGCGGGGTAAATCGTATAACTTTATATAAGAGATTATTAAAGAGACTAGCGACCCGTACGTGCTTCGCACGTATAAAACATACAATCAGAGAAAACAGAATTCATCTCACAATAATCAATAATCAGTAGGACATGAATCGTTGCGATGTA